TTTGGAGCGGGCATCCTATTTAAATGAGCTGCTTAATATGGTATTTTTCAGCTCATTTGTTCAAATAGCAGACTAAAATGCTGGATACAGATCTCAAATGCCACAGGAATGTTATACGGGTGCATACACTAAACAATAAACGTGTCTAATATATATTTAAACACATTGAATGATCAATACAGGGCAAATGGTGGTCTCAGTCGCCTCCTGTTGGAACTGGAAAAACTGACCCTCTGATTTTAACCCATATGATGATGGAACCAAATACACCACAAGCTTTTATTTCCACTTTATATAATTTTAGATTTTAAAACTAATGTGCATACACACTCAACCCATACCTCCTGTACAATTTAGATCGAGGAAAAAGCAAATGGTCTAAAGAGGATTGCTTTGAGATATTTGTGACAATCATGAGCTGTCCTTGAAACCTCTCTGTCCCTCCTGAGTTCCATAAGGCACAAAATAACTTAACATACTGAACTAGTGGACAAACTGCACTGAGATCAGTTTACACGCACCTCTATCGTCATCTAGTGGACAAGCTGTGATGGGCATGTGTATCCGTTTTGTTATTATACAGCTACCTACATTCAAAGATATACACTAAAGTCTTGCCTTGGGTTGCAGTCGAAGCTTGTTAAATATGAGAAGCATTTAGGTAATAAATAAAGAGTTTCTTTCCCTTCTCTTGTCTCAGTTATGGGATGTCATGTGTCTTGACAGGTGGTGCCGCTCTCGGAAGTATTCGTGGCAGATTGGACAGGTAAGTTTCTCCTCCCTTCTTCTCCTCACTTGAGACTCTGCGGCGAACTCCTTTTTGTGGTGAGAGCGCATGTGAAAAACGAGGTCAGAGGTCATGCGGAAGGACAGGTTGCACTTGGCGCACCAGTTCTGCACCGACACGCCGAATGTGGTAAAAGTCGGAGGAAGGATCGTGAGGGACGATGTGGTTTGCAGCTGAGCGCCTATGTTTCTAGACCAGTGCTCCGGCGCGTAATGGAAAGCAGTGTTTAATGCTACCGGGGAGGGTACAGTCTGTAAGTCACTGCTCAGGATGTTGGATGGTATCAGATTATTGTATCCCACAGACGTCCTAGAGGTAAATGCATTCGTCATCTCCTCCAGGCGGCTAGAGGGGGCTGTTGAACCTCTGCTGGGGTGAGCCTGGGGGTCAACAGGAGAACTTCTTTTACTCGGTTTACAAAATGCGCTTTTCTGTTCGCCCTGGCTGTTCGATATCACCAGAGAAAATGCACTGTTGCTGCTTAAATGCATGCTAGAGCCCTCCCCTCCTGTCTCCATCCGCGAGTCCAGGTCTCTGTCGTGCGTAAAAGTCCACTTGGATTCATCACCTTGAACAAGCTCCTCATTTTTACGTTCCAAAAGATCCAGTTTCAACGTGTCAGCTTTCCGTTTCCCCTCAGCTGAAGGGCTGTCTCCTGCTGGCTGGTCGTAACTCTTAGTCGGTGGTGTAATATTATCATCATTTGAAATATTAGTCTTCTCTAATAGAACCGTTTTTCTCCATTTTGGATAAAGAGTTTCCTCATACTTTCTCTTCTTTGGGGAAGTCTCCGCGTCGTCGTTGTTTCCAGTTCTTTTGTGTTCCAAATCTCTGGCAATGTTGTGGAAATCTGTCACTCGGCGTTGCCTCTTAATTTCCACGTGCTTGTGCTCATAAAGCTCGCGGCTCCAGGTGTCAGTCTTTACGTGAGCACAAAAGAATCGGCAGTGAGCCAGGAAGGGATGCTCGTTTTTGAAGACCTGGTTACATCGCCCACATTTTAATTCTGAAAGAAAAACGAAAGACAATATGACGTGACTGTTTTTAATAATTTCAATGATTTTGGAGTGACATAAAATTTGATTTAATCGTGCACATGCATTAAAGGGCAGTCTCACCTTCGTTTGACTCTTTTGCTATTTGGGTGAAGCCCAGCAGATGAGACAGCTCGTGGTCGTACCAGATCAGCAGCTCTTCTTCCTGCCGGATGTCCCGGGTAGTCCGCACGTACAGCTGACCCCCTTTCAAAAAGGCCTCTGTGTTCTGCTCCTCGCCGTTGCGCGCAGCTTGCACGAGCCGCAACCAAGACAGCATCAGGGCAGAATTACGCATGGCCTCAGGATCGACCTGTTGATAGCAACCCCTGATGTTTTACACAGTGTCCCGACTTAGAGGATTTTTATTCTGTCTTTCTAAGAGCCTTCTTGTAAATAATTTAAATAGTTAATTGGTGGCAGATTGCATCTTTTAATGCTGAGGTGATTTTATACACTTTTTTTTCTTTTACTGGTCAGTACAATAACACTCAAAATACAGCTGGTCAAAAACAATCCCTTAATAACACAAAAACCTGGATGTAACGTATGACAATTAAAACTATATACATCTGAAAAACCCTTTACTTTTGGAATTATGTCACCGTTGAGTTATATAGTAACTCAGTAAAGATGTTACAAAGTATATCTGCAAGACAGTTTATCACAAATTTGTCATACGCACCCTGAACACACAGGATTTCGCTCTCTTGTCACAGGATTTCTGCGCTATGAAAGCGATAGAGTCGTAGAAAGTGTTCTGGAGCACACACGGACCGAAGCACGTGCCTGCAGGGATGCTGCGCGCAACTACCACACTGGTGTAGAGATCTGAAGAATGCTGGAGGAATTTACTGTCGCCGGTCCAGATGGACCGAGGCAGGAAAGTATGATCCATCGTTAAACTGTAATGGAATAGTTATTGTTAGTAAAGGTGAAGAATTACTCCAAAACAGTTTTAAAATTCATGTTGTTTAACAGAATGGCAAGATAACCTGGGGAGTAGAGCAATCTCATTATATTTCCTGTTAAAATCAGCCTGGAATAGTAATTATAATTTATATCTTGTCTCAAAAAAGTGCAGGTGTTTTATATGAAACTCAAAAAAGGTTGGATTTGTGCGATGTGCAGTTAGCCGGTTTGGATCTGATCCAAGCACACACAGAATTCCAAAATCGTAATGAAAATAAATTTGCCCAAGTGTATTTTATTTTTCATTTGCTAGTAAAACCGAGGGTACCACTGCGTAGTGAGAGCAGCCGGTGTCGAGGCAAAATGATTACCAACGTCCTTTGTCTCAGTTTTTCACTCGGTTAGTCCTTTTGTCTCCACATCTGCCGTGGAGTCCAGCTGCCTGCTCAACGCGCAGGATAAGTTCAGTATGTTTTCCATAATGTATAAACAGCATAAACGCTCTTAGATTGCGTGACTAATGTTTTCCCTCTCTCCGATCAATTAAAAGTATGCAATCTTTTAGGTTTGTAGGCTATGGTTTAAAATATTGACAGCTGAACCGCACAGCATCATGACAGAATGTGGTACCGATCTAAAAATCCCCGATTTGTTTTTTGGGGTTTTTTTTTCTTCTTCTTCTTTAATGTTGACATTTAAGAGTAAAAACGCACATGCCTGTGTTGCCATGCGAACTCACCCGCCGGACATGGAAGAGGATGTTTAAGCCGTTTGGGAGCCAAGGAAGTTGCAGCAGGTGCAGCGGACCTCGGTGACGAAGCCTTCCCTTTTCTTGCTGACGAGTTACTTATCCGGCTGAATCTTCCTCCGCACTGTCGTCTCTCCCCTCTCCCATTCCCACTTATCCCCTTCAGAGAGCGCACTGAAGCGTGGCGCGTTGATGCAAACGCGTGCGCGCTCGCGCACACGCTCACTCACGCGCCTTCAAATGAGTCTTTTATTAGTAATTTTTCCTTTGTCTGGTTTACAGTTCCCTTCCGTGGAAAAAGGAAGACGTGGGTGTTTGTTTGGACAGAACAGTGATTGGTGGTTAATAACGCACATTTATGCCTTGTACAGCTGACCTGAACACCGCTGATGGACAAAAGTCATATTTTCTTATGTTTCATATCAGGTCTCAACAGATTATTTGTTAATTTTATAGTGTTACTAAAACCACAAACTGGGCGAAGCAGCACGCTGGAACAGCCCGCTCATTTGCCAGCATGCAATTAATCATATATAAATCATAATGTTGTGGTAATCTGTCATGTCATGGTTTTAAACGAAAGACGCGAGTAATACTTCGAGACTGCACTTCAGCACATGCACGCTATGTGGGATTGAGCGGAGAGGTCTTGGTCACGTTTCTGGAGACATTGTGTCTAGCTACGAGAAACTGGTGGAAAATGTCTAATGTGGGCAGTGGGAAATTGTAAAATTGGCCGCTGTTACATGACATGATGCAGGGTGGTCTGGGTTTGCCACCAGGCAAATACATTATTCATAAACTAAATGTTTCTGTCTAATGAGCATTTAATGATTATTCTGCATCAAAGCTTTGGTTTTTGAGTAAATGTCCTGGTAGTTCGTGAGCCAACTTTGTGTAACGAGAAAGTGGGGACGCAGAAGCCTCGAAGGGGGGACTCTTTGGTCGCGCTCCAACTGTCTGGTTAAAGCACTTTTACACTATAGACTAAAAATAGTGTTTTACTTTGGATTAGAATTCAAATTTCTTCCGTTTGTGGCAACGTATCACAATCACAGGAACACTTGGACATCCTTTCAGCAGTACCATGTCCTGTGGATATGACGGTATTGAGCAGCTCTTTGGATTCGTTTTCTTTCATGCACAAATTAAAACAAGCTATGAACTCTTTGATTAACACTATACAATTCACTGACTGCACTGACGAATAGGAGACCATATTCGACTTTAGGCCTTTGGTAACTGGTATATTAGAAAAGACATGGACATAAATTAAATTATTTATGTATAATACATCTGATTTGTGGTCGTCTGATGTTTCCAACTATGAAAAACAAAAAATCAAACCACACTAGTAGGACATGACACTTTTTCCCCATCCCAGAAACTTTATTTTTGACAAACTGATAAGGCCAAAGAGAACATCCCAAAAACGAGGATGTACACAGCCACTCTCCCCCCGTAACAGTTTTTGAGGAAAATAAAGTGGAGTTTTGTGTGTCTCCTCGGGTGTCGCTCCTCTCCTTCATCCTGCCCAGCTTTAGTGCTTCTCTTTTTTTTTTCCCCTTCCTCTCTCAATCGAAGGAGAAGACTTGGAGAGGCCGGCTCGGTCTTAACAAGATTCTTCCAGACTGAATGCACTCAAAATAACGTGAAAGAAAACGTAACCAGGAAACGGGGCTGTGTGTGTGTGCACAGAGTCCATCTGGAAACGGACGATAGGGAGATGTGAAGCTCTTTAGTTGTTGCAGTGCCGGAGTAGTCAACAGTAACCGGGAAAGATGGCGAGGACACGGGCTCGCATGTTCCTCGTCTTGGCTGTAGTTGGAATTTTCTGTCTCGATGTCTCGGTCAGAGGAGAGCTGCAGGGAGAGCAACAGGAGGAGGAGGAGAGGTCCTGCCAGGGCGCCTTCGACCTCTATTTTGTTCTGGACAAGTGAGTCTCGGATATTATTTATTGCTTTGTTAATTTCTGGTCGCTGCGCATTGCCATGCAACCGTGTAGTTGTTTGGAAACGCGGAGCGCGTCAGTCGGACGTCCTGATGTAACGGAGTCTGAGAAAAGCGAGTGAGCGTGTAAAGTCGAAAAAATACCCAGAGTCTTCATTTTAATCAAACTGGCTTTTGCACCAAATCACAAGATTGAATCTTAAATCTGTGCAACGCAATGACTTCACTTAAAGAAACATACCTAAAATCATTTTAACTTGCTGTTTTGTGTCTTCGGGACATGCAAGTAATCAGATTGAAATTTAAGTTGGAAGTATATTCTTGACATCGGGGCATGCTTTTCTTTTTAGTTCGGTTTAAAGTGGTGAGACAAAAAGACCAAGCTTTACCGAGGGGATGTGGGCAGGGCGAGCAGGATGGATAGAGTTTCAGGCTGATGACGCCTGCGGACACAGCTGCTGCAGCTGCCCCATAGCGGTGCTATATGGGCCGGTTATCACTTTAAGCATCGGCTCCATCAAAATAAAGAGAAGAAGCATCAACTAATGGCTTCCTGTCACGACTAAGAGTGGGGTTTTGCACTGAAAACAAACACAACAAAAACATTGTTTCTAATACACCTTTTACACTGGATGTTGGCTCAGCTGATCGTTATATTACTGCTTGATAAAAGGTTTCTTAATGCATTTTAGTTAAATGCACAGCTTTGGTGTAAGTTATGAAACATCTTGCATAAGGCGCATCCTCCAGCTGATCTTCTTTGTCATTGCCTGGCTCTTATCATCCACCAGGACGATCATTCAGTCATTTTTTTCTCTGTTTTGTTAGAATTCCACTTTGAACGTTTGCTGCAAAAACTTTGCTGTTTAAAGTAAAGTGGTACTTCTGCATCTTTAGAGAGGTCTTAGAGAAATCCTAAAATGTCCCTGTTTCTCTTTCCAAGTATTTCCTCCTCCTTCTTTTTTCAACTCATAGTTGTCTGGTGGGTGGACAGGAAATGAAGTTTGAGACAGTGGGAATGTCAAACAAAGGTCCCCAGTCTGAATTTAATCCATTACCCTATTACTGACATCAGTACTGTTAGAATAACACCAGGACGCTCTTTAAATATCTTTAGCATTATGAAATTCTACAGACTCTTAGTGACTCAAAGCATTTTTTCAGGCCGCATGGTCACTGTGGATGCTTCTGCCACTGTTCTGGCATGTGTAAGCCTGATGATTTTACCCTGCGCTCCAGCTCATGTCGTTTCAGACATTGTAATTGGCATGTTTCTGTTATTTTGGCATGAGCGGCAAGGTGAGATTTATGCACATGGTCACAGACAAGCAAGTCTAAACATGCAACGTAGACGGATACAAGGAGAGAGAATGACAACAAAGCCATAAGGTATGGTTGGATTTGTGACCTCCCTGTGTAAAAGAATAGCAGGTTAGAATTTCAGTGGAATAATTATGTTCTCGACAGACAGAGTGATGTGATTTTGCGGTGAAGCAGCTAAACAATGTGGTATATAACATTTGAAAATATGCTGAGGTAATGGTTAAAAAAAAATTCTTTATGTCCTCGGCTGACCCGTGTGCACCACCGCCACCTATGAGCTGCGAGGTGGACGAGCTTAGTGACATTTTACTTTGGTCTCGACATATTTGATGATCTTTTTAATGTTCACGGCAACATCTGTCAGCCCCTCTCTTCTCTCTTTACCCTTTGCTTCAAAAAGTTTAGGAGGAGCCTGGGGAGCACGGCATGTCACGCATGGCTAAACCTCTGATACGCCCCTTTTCTTTTTTTGACTGTCTAGCAAGCTCCAGCAGGCCTTCAGGAAGCTGTTGATCTTTCTCCTGAGATAGCACTGATTTCTTGGCTGATATCAAATGCGACACAATGACTAATATTTAAGAAAGAATAGGGCAAAATCATCTCTAAATTGGACTTCACCTTATCAATACTCATCTTGTTTGCAGGTTTTGCTTTTGCTACACTCTCCAGTAGGTTATGAGACATGCTAAGGGAAGACTGTGTGCACGCTCCACTGTAGCATCTCAGTATACACAGAATAAACATTAGAAAAACGACCATCAGCTTCCTACATTCCTGCTCTCCGTGTCTGAGCCGCACCGAATACCATGCTGCATTTTTTTCGGACTATCTGGTTGCCCACAAATGGAATAATAGGTGTTGTGTTTTATGGCTGGGCTCTGAACAGAGTTTTGTGCTGACCGATCTAAGTGCTTTGGATTGGTTTTGGAAAAGGGGACTGTGCATCTCACAGTTTAGGAATGCAGGTAGAAGACTCAAGGGTAATTACTAAAATTGTAGAAAGATTGCTTTAATTTTCAGCAGAGGAGACGACTTTGAATGCGTTGTGCTTTTTCTGTGGATGGAGAATTGTCTGTCTCAACAATATGTTTTCAAACAAAATGTCAGAAACTGCTTTTTAAAAAATCTACTATATATAAATGTCCTAAAAGGATTTGGGGAAACCTGGCAGATATTTTCATTATCATGAAGAAAAAATGACAACTGACAAACCAGAAGTTCTGTATATGGAAAAGGACTGGTAACAAAAATGAGGCCCAATCATCCTCTCATTGGTTGTAGTTTGCGATGTTAATGTTACCTAACAAGAGAACCCTTTGATTTAGTCTCAGTTTAATGAGCAGTACATGAAACACAGTTTTTACTTTTGGCAGTGTGTCACATAACTTCCTATCCTGCGCACTGGACTAAAACCTCTTTTGTGTATTTGTAACAAAGCGCACTCTGCTTCCTCATGAAGCATATCTTCATATCTTTAGCCTGTAAAATAAACCCACTGGCCCCATATGAGGACACACTTTTTCTTAATATAATGAAATAATGACTTCCTGTTCAAAGATTAAGTTTAGGTTTCATACTTAATCAGGTAAGGTCAAGTAAACCCAGACAGCTCCCAAATAGGAGCTCTGCACCAAGAAAGGATTAAGATGGGGTTTTTTTACTAGTAAACTTTTGTATCAGGGACTTTTTTTATGCCTTTACTTCTTGGGAAAGGGAAAAGTGGAGGAGGCAGTTCTGGGGAAAATAAAAAATTCAAAAGAGCTGTCGTAAATTTGACCAGCTCAGACTTTCACTTTGCTCATGACCCTGTTATGTGTACACACGGATGCCTGACCTTTGCAGAGTTTTGGTTTACAAGCTGTTTGATGTTGCATCCTTCACACACACACACTCACACTTTTACCCCCTGCTGAGTGTCACTTCTGGGTCCCTCTGTTGTTCATGTCGCAGCCTTTTTACTCCGTGCATCCCCAACCTGTTGTTTGGCTGGCTGCACTCAGTGGGACCATCTGTTCCCCCTCACAGTCAAACACACACACTTGCACTCTTCCACATACACATGCATGTCCACTATACACACACAGGCCAGCTGCCTGCTTCGTGGTCCCTGCTAGAGGCAGACTGCTACATCTGTCCCTGTCTAACCTCAACCCTCTGGCCCAGCAGCAATTAGCCCCCCATTAGCAGCCCCATGGGACTCGATTTCATTAAGGACACTGTCATGTACGCAGCAGCATGTAGCGGGCTAATCAGCAGCACACAGCCGACAGGTTACAGTCCAAAGCAAGGGAATGTGATTAAGTGACCAGAAGACGGTCTTCTCTGTGTAAGAAATAAACTGCTGTTCCTTAAAAAATCATTAAACCCTTAGTATTTGTAGGCACACTACCTCTAAATCACTGCATGAAAATAAACCTCAGTTTATTAACCTCAAATTCAGCTTTTCTCTTTTCCTTCTTTTTGATCTAGGTGGAATAATCTGCTACAGCATCACATCACACAAGTCCGTGTTTGTGGTATTTTTCAGGTCTGGGAGCGTGAAGCATCATTGGATAGAGATCTACTCCTTTGTGGAGCAGCTGGCAGAAAAGTTTATTAGGTACCAGCAGGATTTAGTCACTGATGTGTTTTTAGTATTTTGTTTTCTCCTTTTGTCCATGTTAACGCAAAAGCACTTTGTGTTCCCAGCCCTATGTTGAGAATGTCCTTCATAGTCTTCTCAACACAAGGAAAAATCATCATGAAACTGACCGAGAACAGGTAAACTCTACACATCAGTAATTGACTAATCCCTTATGTTATGTCTGTGTCTGCGTACAAGTACTGTACAAAAATGCTATCTTTACTCATCTTTGTCTGTTAAACTGGTTTTGTAACCCTTCAAGATCAACAGAACAGATATTGCATAATTGCTAACAGATTTTATGCAGCTTCATGCAACCTTACGAATACAAAAAGTGAGACTATCTTTGGTTAAAACTTAAGCCAAAACGTTACTTTCCAACTCAGTTGAATCTTTCCTATTCCGTTTACTCCATGTCTTTTCTTAAAAGCGACATCCTTTCAGGATGTTTTATAAGGCTGTTTGTTTATTCTTCAGGGAGGACATCACTGGAGGCTTAATGGCTCTGAGGAAGGTTATCCCTGGTGGAGACACGTATATGAACTTAGGCCTGGAGATGGTAAGGCTGGGTTTAAATCACACTATCTGAGTCTTCATAAACCTTCCAGAAAATACCCACTGAGCATTAATTGTGCCTGGCAGCTGGAACCAAGAGCAATTAGATAAGTATGAGGTGTGTCTCAAACCATGAATTACTTGCTCCTTCCTGAAAGTGCCGAGCTAAGTATTTAAGAGAGGCATTCTTAAAGAAATTACTCTTTTATTAATTTTTTTCTTTTGTGAAAACAGGAATGTGGTTTTTTTTAAGCAAAACATTTAAAGACATTCACCCATCTTTGCCAGAGCACAGTGTGCAAAGTGCGATCTGTGGCTTGACTCTACCTCAGTATCAAGGTGTTAGACTGTATGATCACCGGCTGTAACTCTTCTATGATCTGTAACTGAGAGTTTCGGTTGTTGTTGAACTTACGGTTGAATTCCTTTCTTTTTAAATGTAGGCTAATGCACAGATCTATAAAGAGAAACAAGGTAAGCTTCAACCCAAAAGCTTCATACATTGCAGTGCAAAGTTTCAGAGAACGTGAAAGTTGTGCGTTCTGCAGGGACTGCCAGCGTCATCATCGCCTTAACTGACGGAGAGCTGAATGAGTGGCAGTTTGACACAGCACAGAGAGAGGTGAGACGTGCTGTAAAGTAGAAACGTTTTGGAGCCAGTCGAGAAAATATTGCTGCCGGGCTGAGGACCGTTACTGTAGGCTGCGTGCCTGTTAGCTGTTTGTTAACTTTATGTTATTAGTGCTGTTCTTCTTTGGTGGCCCTTATTATGGTTTTCATATTTTAAACCACTTTAATATTTTGCCAGCTTTGATTGGTGCATCTGCCATTTGGATGCAAAAGACCTGCCCTCTTGGCTGCGCCATGGTCATTTTTACTTTTATTACAAATACAGATGATAAATACTGCTAAAGTTATTTAGAAATGATTAATAATCAGGATGCGTAAAAGTTAATGCCCCTTTTTTGGAGAATGCATCATGTTGTGCAACACCAGTTTTTTCATTTTTGCTGTGTGAACTGAGAAAATGGTGGTTTTGGGGAGATTTTAGTGGCTCCACGAGACCACAAGAATCTCTTTGCAATTGTTCTTTCTTTTTGTTTGCAGGCACAGAGGGCCAGATCTATGGGAGCTATTGTTTATTGTGTAGGAGTCAAAGAATTCAACCAGACCCAGGTACGATCTACTGACAGATATCAGAAATATTCCAAATACATAAAAATGCTAATATCTTACTTTGTCTGTGTGTCTGTATGCTTTTCTAGCTTGCAACTATTGCAGACACAGTGGAACATGTGTTTCCTGTATGGGGAGGCTTCCAAGCCCTCAGGGGAATCATTGACTCAGTATGGCACACACATACCACATGTATACCATATAAACACTCACACACATACAAAAGAGAGCCATAAAAATCATATTACATCATATTAAATTACTGAGGTATCACATAACTATTTTTTTTTGTTTCCATCCCCTCTCTCTCAGATCATTAAGAAGTCCTGCATTGAGATTCTGGCAGCAGAGCCGTCCAGTGTGTGTGCAGGAGGTAAGAGGTGTGAGGAGCCGGGGTTTTCCCTTTCTAGTTCACAGAGTGGGCAGTCACGGTGTGCGATTGTTTCAGATGACAGTCATCCAAAGCCTCTGGAGTGAAACATGAGGTTGAGTAATCGCATGGATGCTTATGACCGCAGAGTGACAGAGAGCGTATTGTCATTCACGGCCGGGGGAAATTAGCATGGCCGCTTCAGCACAGCATGGGTGCAAAAAAAAAAAAAAGAGGAGGAGGGGTCTGCGGGTGTTGGTCAGAGGAATTAGCCATGAATCTTCAAGCATGGCTGCATCTCTGGCCTAGTTTGCCACATCGTATATGCTAAATAGCCATTTGGGTTGGTTTAAACCCTGTCCTCTCCCTCACTTCCTCTGCCCAGCACTTCTGCTCCTAGACAGCAGTTTAAGGAAGTAGGATGCAAGAGATGAAGCATTAAGAGAGAGCCTTTATGGGTAGCCAGCAGGATGGATGAGCTTTGACATGACCTTATTAGGACTCACTTAAGGGAGTGCATTTGCAGCCCTGCTACCAGGACAACCAATGGAGATTAACATCCATTATGAGATATGAAGGACGGGAGAGGATGTGGAGAGAGGAGATGAGAGAAGATTCATGTTGCCGTAAAAGGACAAAAGGAGAAGCTGTTCTCACATGATAATTACAGTTTCTGTTAGTGCGCAAGAGACTTTGTGTCACTCGACGTGTGCCCAAATATCCTTCAGCAGCCTCATTTATTATTCGATTGATGAGCAGCCTAATGGTCAGTGAACTAAGAAAGCAGGGACCCGCTTTAACCAAGGCCTTACTCTGGCCTAATTAATTAAGTTGTAATATGCTCAAATGCTTATAGTGCACTTTGTCTGCCTTTGTTGTGATTTGTGCACATATACAATGGAAATCAGACATCCGGTGCTTTCACATTATACCAGAAAAGGCTTTAGATTGTGGAGAAATCACCAGCCCTCCTGCCCCAAACTCTTATAAAGTAAAGCAGTTTTTATCATTTAGCTATGTGATTTAATTTGAACAGCAAGGCCATGCATTGAAGCGTGAATACATACTGACACCCCACATTTATATTGTGACAGTCTCTTTCACTGTTATTTTTCTTGGCCCGCGTGTAGTCACATAGCATATCGTACACGCTTTACCCCAACACACACATTTAAATGGTCTTTAGTCTGCTAGCGCACACGCATCTCCCGGCACGTGTGTAGACACGTCCCTCACATTGATGTGAAGTGACCAGATCGAGCTGCCTGCAAACAGGCCATCAGACCAGACAGTGAACGTTGGGCCACACTATAAGACATGACAGCACTGATTCCCAGCGCGCACACACAAGCACACGTTGAGGACAGTGAGAGTACGGCCTTCGATCTAACATGACAGGAGAGATAGCTGCTTTCATTAACGTCTGACCCTTTTCTACCCGCCGTGCCTTCCTCCTTTGCCCCTCCCTGTCCTTCACTGTCCTTTTGCACTAACGTGATTGAAGAGGCACTGTTGGGACAAGCTGTACCCCCTTTTCTCCGCACACTCAGTGCCCATGCGTATTCGTATGTATAATCACATATTCGTACAAAACAAAATCCCTGCCAGCCATTCAGGTGTGGATGTAAATGGACACGTTGCCATGCAGGAAAAGCAGAGAGCAGACAGGAGAGGGCAGCAGCATATGTGTCGGACATGATGGTGGGGCACCACCAGTCCTCATCCACCATGTGTCTGACAGGAGTGACCTTTTAACACATCAAGCCTGGTGTGTGTGTGTATAATAGATTTTGTGACTGAGACATTTCTAGCTAAGAAAACACTGCTGTTTTCAATCAGTCAGACAATGACAATTGAAAATATCTATTTTTAAATAAGGTTAGGAAATATTATAGACTTCTCACATTTTTTGGATAAATGAGGTCCTGATTTGTTCCTATGTTGTTTTGGGGGGGTTTTCTTTACTTTTCTATACTTCTACATGCCCATGAACAAAGCAAAATCTATCCCTTTCATTGGAGTATATTTAGCATCAGATTGTGGGTTTTTGTGTGTGAGCTATGCCATGGTGTAGCTTGCTTGGTCTGACTGCAAACCACATAGACCACAACTTATATTATATTATATTATATTATATTATATTATATTATATTATATTGTGTCACCACTACTTTCTTATATATGAGGTGATTGGTTCAGGTTTTGGTCAGTGAACTGGGTTTTGCCTACTGTAATGTCACAGGGTCTTTGATTTGCTGTATAAAGTTTCTTAAATAAAACCAAAGTGAAGATAAACTGAATCTGTCAATAAGCACATACACAGCTGTATGAGGTCAGCAAGGAGTTTGGTGCAGTTTTTGTAGTGTCTTTAAACAAATGCATTATAATATGCTTGTGCGAGTATAATTCTAATTTCCATTGTTGATGTAAATCGTGGATTGTCTGCAGACTTCAATCTGCACTCAGCATTTTTGCAGAATCTGTAAACACATAAACATCTGGTGTTTCTTTGCTTTTCAATTGTCTTCTCAGCTCTTTCTCTTTCTTTGTATCTGTATTCATGGATTTCATGGCAGCTTGTCTGACCTTTAAAGAAATACTGTCACATATACACCCCGCAACCTGTGATGTTTTTATCCAGTGATCTTCACGCTGGTGCTTTAAATGTTAAAGATGTGGCTGGCAAATGTTCCCTTCGATTAGCCAGGATACTGCTAGCGGAAACCTCAGTTCACTTGTGTGCACATTTTCATTCATGCATACACTGAACACATGCAAATGCCTGCACATTCCACGGAGAAGCAGAATTACAGCACACGCACAGATCTGCACACAGGCACACACAAGAGCTAACGCCGTGTGGTAGTGCCATAGGTAAGGTCAGACCTACTTTGACAGTACTGTGCTGTTGTCAGCCCAGCAGGCATGTTTTTAAGCAAGTGTTTTTTTCCCCCGCTCTTTAACATATGCTGGGAAGCAGCCACATAGACACTCCAGCATATGCTGGCAAGCCTCTGTCAGTGCACTTTAACAGTGCCTAGGGGAAATTAAAGGTCAAAAGACACACACACACATTCGCACACACCTCCTGGCTATTGCACAGTCTGAGATATTTCTGAATAGCAACACTTTTAGCATTAGCACCACTGGAGCATATTATGGCCTTTCCACACATACACGCACAAGCACACAGATATAAACAAGCAGTAATGAGGCATGCACAAGTTCTCACTGCTCAAGTTGAGCCCGACAGAGCAAGGGACTGGCTGTCTGGCCCACAATGACTGCATACTTTTTCTGCAGTAATTTGATCTTTTGTAACTCTTGTGCAGCTAAAAAAATATATGCATTACCATTGTTTCTCATAAGTGGTTGTATAACTAATCATTCCTGATGTCTGGACCCATTTTTTCTCTCAGAGAGTTTCCAGGTGGTTGTGAGAGGTAATGGCTTTCTCCATGCAAGAAACATCAACCAGGTCCTCTGCAGCTTCAAATTAAATGACACACATACTGTGGGTAAGTTCTGCAGGTGTACACAAGAACACTATAATAAATAGTATGCATCCTTTTCTCCTGCTTGCCATTAAGCAGGACCCTGTTCCCAGATTGAATCTTTTATTAGAATAGTTCAGATGTGGCAGATGTCCCATCTTCTGTCTTCCTTCTTGGATCACTCTGAGCTGCTCCCAGTGCTGTTGCTATTTTTTTTATCACTAAAAAACCCTATTTACATCTCTTGCAATAATTTTATTTCTGGGGAAAAGTCATAAGAAGACATATCTGGAAAGAAGGGTAGGTATTTTGCATTTCAAGGTTGCACTTGTCAAAAAATTCCTGCATTTTCAGTTTGTCACACACTGCCACACAATGGCAGGTCAGGTTTGTTTCCACTGAATGTTCTCCTTTAGAATCCTCGGGACATTGTAACAGAAAGTTGGACTCTGTGGGGTTAAATTCAAAACCCTATAGATGTTGCATGAGTACACAAACCTGGTGCGCCCCATTTGGGCTTTTTCCACTGAAAATGAGGGTCATAACCAGAGATGGGCAGTTACTGTAATCCGATTACTTTTTTCAAGTAACGAGTAAAGTAAGGGATTACTATTGCAAAAACTGTAATTAGATTACTGTTACTTTCCCGTAAGCACGCTGCGTTACTAAAACCGTGATTTTTTTGCGAGAGTGTCTCATGACAATGACGTAAGCGAGTGCGACGTTCGTGGCAACAGCTGTGTGCAGATCAACAATGGATAATAAATCGAGTGCAGGAGAGTATGAGCGTGCAGCGTTTAAAGCGTGGAAGTACTGACCTTACTTTGAGTTTGATTCCATAAAAAGTGACAAAAACATTAGTGTTCGTTGTGCGTGGGAAGAAAACTTCTTTTTACAGCAAAAAAAAAAGTGCGCAACGACGTAATGGGAAATTCATAGAAACTCGCGGCACACCTGCACCAGGGCAAACCTCCGCCTACCCCACTCCTGCTTTACAGGTGAAAATAGAGCAACAGGACCGCTAGTCTTTGATTTTATTTATTTTCTGCTGTGTTTCACTTGCATCTATTTGAAAGAGTGAGTGTAAACACAAAAAATATTTTATTTTATGTGTTGGAATGTGCAGAAAATAGGTTTAAATGTTAAACAAATTTCTTCCAGTCAAAGAATGTTGCATATAATTTAACTTTTGCTTGATGCATAAAGTTAAAAGATTAAAACTAAAAGCAATTTCACTAGAAACACTCAATAATTACACAAGGAAACAACACTGAAGTAAGAAAAAAAATCAGATTTATGGTAAATATGGTGTGGTTTATTTGCTTATTTATTTAAATTTTTTACATGGCAGATAATTATCTGATAACCAGAAACCCTTTAAGAGGACTTTATCTCAAACCAAACACAAAGGGCATGAACCCCTGCAGTAGGATGAACCCATCCATAATATAATGGTTCCACCCAGAATCCTCTCTGAGGATTAATGCCAGATGCTTTTCATTTTCTAAGATAAAATTCAAGTTCTACTGAGAACTAATTTTCCACCCTAATAGTTTCAGCTGTAACCCATCCAGTGAGCTCTGAAATTGCCATTTTATAACATTCTTGTGGTTCTATTTTAAGGATGGGGCAAAACATGCTTAAATTTCAAGTATTGTGTATTGGGCATGATTTTGGCATGATTGAAAGAAAAACTTATAAGTATCAGAAGCAAAAAAAAAAGTTGTTTAAGAAGTGTGATTTTTGCTTTTCCCCATGTAGATGAGAGACCAGCTGGAATAGAGGACACCTTTCTGCTGTGCCCTGCTCCTGTGGTAAAGGAAGTGGGGAAGTAAGTAGCACATCTCAGATCTTGTTTTTCCACCCTTATTTACCTCAGATTGTTTCTCAGCTGTGGCTCCAGTCTCTGAACTATCCCCGTACAGCTGTAATGCGGACATTTGCCAGCTGCTCTCAAGTTTGTTGTGGACACAGAAGACTGCTGTCCTTGAACAAATTAGGGCCAAAGTCATTGTGTGTCTGTGATCAATCAATGTTTGTCACAGCTAACGAAGCCAGACACCAATCACAAGGGGACAACAGGAGTAGAGCCCAGGAACATGACTTAATGAGAGCCTGCTCGAGAGAACCTCACAACTCCGGTGTGTTTGTGTGTGATGCTCCTAATCTCTGTCTGGCACTTTGGCAGAGACAAAGTGTGAGTGGAGTCAGCGGGGCAGTGTAAAGTTTCCTCTGAGGGATTCCAGCTTTGCCCTTGGTAATTCAGAGCACAATTTCCTTGCGGGGCAGACAGAGAGATGCTGTGGGTTGAGTTTGGAGAGGATAAAGGCCCAGCAGCCCTTCCATCCCCTCTGCCTGCAGTCTTGTGCATAATTATACACTCAGGCCTGTGGCCTCAGACACCTCCCAGTCATCATCTGTCTTGTTTCTGTCACTCAGATTTTTAGCATGATTTGAGCTTTTCTTATCCGCCAGTGAAAAGTACTGCTTTGATGGGGAACCACTGCTCAGAGATAAGGAGGAAATATTTTTTCTCCAAAGAACTCACGAAACTGACAGACCAAACTATTTTTTTAATACTGAACATTAAAAGTAGTATATTACTGGCATATAACTGTTTAGGGTTTGACATAATGACAGAATGTAAAAGACATATGGAGCAAACTGTAAAGTCCAGCAAACACCCTGTACGTGTCTCTGCTTTAGTGTCTGATCTTTGTTGCTGGTGTGCTGTTGTAGCAGGTGGAGCTACTCCTCCTTAGAGCAGATCGAAACAGGCAGCATCATTACACTCTGCAGTGATGCCTGAAGGAGGCGTCCTTCCATGTAACAGAGGAGAGAAGAGTTGATACTGCCTAAAACCCTGAGTGCCACTAAAGAGCAAGTCAGCTGTGGTGGCTGAAGGGTCCAGAGAGAAGGCCAACAGCTGGCTGATGAGTTCATTGCAACAGAAGTGGAAATGTAGAGTGAGGCGAGCGTGACACTGTTCAGGTTGGACAGGTGTTATACACTTTTATATACTTTTTTCTTCTCTCTCATTGGACTGTTTTAGCATTCTTAGCATGATCATAATGCTTATCACAAAGGTTTTCAGTTTCACAGAACATTTTTTCAAACATCTCATTAAAAAAAAGTAAAAGGGAAAAAAACATTGAACTGAAATCAGGCAGCATGGTGATGCACTGTAGACACTTTTGCCTCAGCAACAAGGTCCTGAGTTGAGAGTCCTGGGCGGGGCCTTTCTGTGAGGAGTTTGCATGTTCTCCCCGAGTTCTCGCCGGGTACTCCAGCTTCCTCCCACCGTCCAAATGTTACGTTAGGTTAATGGGTGATTCTAAATGGCCCATAGGTGTGAATGAGTGTGACTGGCTGTCTGTCTCTCTGTGTTAGCTCTGTGTCAGATTGGCAACCTGTCCAGGGTGTACCCTGCCTCTTGCCCTATGGTAGCTGGGATAGGCTACCATCCAGGCTATCATCCAGGCTATCCCACAACCCTGATCAGGATAAATGGAAGGGAATAGATGGATTTCTTTTAAATCACTTATTAAGGAAAAAAAATTCAGCTTCTTAAACATCAGTAGATATATGTGATTATTATGTTATATGCATGTTATTATCAAATAATAACACACCACAAGCTTAAAAAAAGATTAATGGATTATACTAAAACTATAAAAAAAAACATTTTATGCAATTTTATAAACCAGTGATGAAATAAATTTTTCGTTCACATATCTAAAGTTATTACACTTTAGATATGTGAACTGCTTCCTGTTGAGGAATTTTTAGGTCTTCAGCTTTACTTGAGATCTTAGGGACTCCGGCTTCCAGCATCAGCGAGGGTCTCCACCAAAAGCCCCTCACTCTCCTCCTGTCTCACCCAAGTCGCACTGTCGGTTAGAATGAAGGCACTGGCGGTCCTGTCACACAAATCTGTGTTGACTGGGAACCTTCCGGATGCAGCTCCCCCTCCTGAGCGCACACACAAAGACACACACATATGTGGGGCAAAGACATATATAGTGGGCAGATTGATGATTGATAGGGGCTGAGATCTCTCTGTCAGTGTGGAGCTGATAGCACCCTGTCCCTTGCCTGAAAGGAGGGCTGACCACAGGATGGGGAAGGAGTGACAGAAAAAGGAGAGAAGACGCAGAAGAAAAGATTAGTGGCACCTGCACCGCCAATTTTCTATTCCCAAGTCAGTGTCAGCATGAGTTATGAGACGAGCTACAGTGGCGTGGAGCGCTGAGGGGATGTGGATGAGGAAAGGCTTTCCTTCTCCCATCCCCCGCCTCTGTTTCATCTTCCCAGCCATCCCACCACCCTGCAATGACCTCCGCCTTCCCGCCCCCTCCTCAAACTTAACCCAAAGCTCAATACCCCCCTTGTCTGTGTCGCCCTAAACCATTAGACCAAGCACAAGAAGTCTTTCTCCATTCTTCTTCTACACTCCAGCAGTCTGCTCTTTAACCCCCTGCCAGCGTATGTGGCTCAAATGTCTTGGCCTTTGTTTTATTTTATTTACAGTTTCGTTTCCATCCATTCTATCCTGTTATCTTCCCATCTAAAATGATTTGCTTTTTCCCACCCTTGTGTCCGCCCTTCCTGTACTTGAGTAGTTACAGCTACGCATATCGGTGCTGAATGCTGTACAATTAGAAGTCATTTTAGCTGTCTGTGGTTTCCACATCAGAGGTCTGCGTCCAGTCCAAGCAGAAGAGATTCCTCCCGTGGGTGGAGACCTCGCTGACCTCTTCGAACGCTTTTAGCTCTGCGTTTTTGTCAGCATATTTTCGTGTGCTTATAATGGAGCAAGTATGGACAAAGCAAGAAAGTATTTGGCACCTGGTTAAACTTTTACAGTAGCTTGAAGCTACGCTGTGAATGTGTTCATACAAGCAGATGTGATATGTCAGCACTTCTGTGTTAGATGACCAGCAGCCGGCTTGTGTTGTTTTTTGTATTTCTTTAGAGTGATCTACCTGCAGGTGAGCATGAACGAAGGCCTCTCCTATATCACCAGCTCTGTTCACATCACTACTACTGAATGTGTAAGTAGATCCAGTGTAGCTTACACTATAGCTTCACAACATTAGATGGTAATATTTCTCTCTGGCATGCTGCCTTTTTTTTTTTTGGGAAAAACTTTCTTTCAGCTGTCTTATTTCTCTTTTGGCTCTTTTATCTTCATCTCTCCTTTCCCTCTGAATTCTCCTCTGTTGCGTCTGTCATCAGAGGAGGCTGTGAGTACTTTTGCTTTTCACTTTCCCTTTGTTTTCACTTCACTTGTGTTTTATTCCTGTTTAACCGTTATCCCGTCCATCTGCATTTGCGCAGTTTGACGGCACCATCGTGTTGATATCCTTGCTCGTGGTATTCCTGCTGTTGGCTCTGCTGCTGATGTGGTGGTTCTGGCCTCTCTGCTGCACTGTGGTAAGTTTGACAGACCAAATGACCTCGTTTTTCAGGAAAACAACTACACTGTTTTTTTGTTTACACTATATTATTAATTTATTTTTCTCTGCTTCAGGTGATCAAAGAGCCTCCACCACCTCCTCCTCCAGAGCCTGTAAGTCACCTGTCACATGAACCTGTCGCAATCTTTCCCCTTTCTTTCATTCTATTCAAAGATTTGCATAAGAATTCAGGACTACTGCAATATTTCTTATTTTTGCAGTTAATATAGTAAAGTAATAGTAATAACATTGTTTAAGCATATGAGCTGTATCCTCATTGAGGCTTCGCTAACAGGAGTCAGATGATGATGATGGTTTACCCAAGAAAAAGTGGCCCACAGTGGATGCTTCATATTATGGAGGAAGAGGAGTAGGTGGCATCAAGCGCATGGAGGTACACTCACTCACTCTCAACTTTCAGAATTTGCAAAAGGCAAACGGACGAAATTTAAAAAAAAAAAATTTCTTACTTACTTAAGGTGCGATGGGGGGAGAAAGGATCCACAGAGGAAGGTGCGAAGCTGGACAAACCTAAAAATGCTGTTGTGAAGATGCCGGAGCAGGAATTTGAACCCTATGAGCCCAAGCCCCGAAAGCCTCCCCGTCGACCCCCACAACAGAGGAGGTGGTACACCCCCATTCAGGTAAGTTTATCATATGAATGCTCTTTAAATGTTCCGTTTATGTTTGTAGCTTACTTTATCCAACCGCAGGAGAGGAAGTCAACTATATTTATCTTTATATAAAGCTGCAAAATTTACAGCACCTAACCTAAATAAAAATCATATGACAAACAATCAAAACATAATAATAATAATTGATCATATATTTCAGGATCTAGTAAAGCAAATGATATACAGATAAACAGGTACATTAACCCTTTCAAGAGCTGGACAAGCAAATAATTGCCAGAAAATTAAAATTGTTTTTTTTAAATAGAGCATTTATTGAACCATCTGACACATTTTAAAGCTTAATTAAATATTAATTTGCAGTTTTAATTTATTTATCACGTTTACTACATTATCTATTTCTTTTGCAATTTATTGCAATTTATGTAAGTTTTCAGGAGGAAAAAAAAATCACACTGATGATGTTCTCAAAAACTCACAAAAACTCATGTATTAAATATGGCACACGAGACATTAAGGTATTATGGTCCTTTTCAAAAAATCATATATTATTTGGCATTATAATCAGTCTCATTCTCTGTCTGTGGACCTTGGCAGAACACACTAAAAAAATTTTATTTAGATTAACTTTTTTATTTTAAATCACTCTCATTTATATATGACATTTGTTTCATTATAAATACTCCATTTTTAATTCACTTTCCTGACTCCCCAGGGGAAACTAGACGCTATCTGGGCTCTGTTCAGGAGAGGCTATGACCAGGTATCTCTGATGAGACCGCAGCCTGGAGACGAGGTGAGCCTGCTTCTACCTACAGTCAAGTTACATTTTCATCCGTTTCTGCAATTTAAGAAACCACAAAGATGCACAACGGCTGACACAAACTATAATTTGCTGATTACGAGTCATTTAGGGGGCTTGCCTTCTAAACAGCGGGTTTTCTGTCTTTCCGTAGAGCATCTGCATCCTTCTTTTGTCTGCCACGCTGCATAACGACACCATAAAGACATAGGAAAATCTTTAACGCAGCACCCCAGTTCTCAGCACGCACACCCACACAAACACATGTGGAAAAACATTCACTGGGGAAATAGTGAGGTACAGACAGGACTCTCTTTGTCAAAGCTGCAATTGTTCACACACAAGGCGTACTGTGCTGTTATGTACTTTTCCCTCTGACTCCCAGAAAATGACATGGTTTCTGTTGAGGTTTCAAATAGCATGTTTCACCATCACTGTTTACTGTTAAGTCATGATTATAGTAAACAAATATATACAAATTGTGTCATTCTTTGTTTTAAGTGCTATGTTTTATGAGAAAAACCCAAAAAAAACTATTGAATGTGCTATTACTGGACATTACTGCCACTGCTGAAAAGTCCTGAATCATGACATCACTACGTTTCCTGCAACTGAGTGTGACAGATCGAGACAGAGAGCAGAGCGGTCCCTCTTATCTAACCTTGACCCCCGCGTCTGGCATCTCGTAACCCCCAAAGACATGTTTTCCTCATCACACTGGTTGTCATGGTGAAACATCTGCTCCGTTGTAAATGGTGTCATTGTCGCTTCTCATAGCTGTGGTCTCATCACTGTAAAATTTATCGATTTGTGCTCTTCAATGACATGATTCATCTTTACTGTGCAACAGTGTGAGTGTGTGTCTGCTCGCGTCTGTAAAAGTGGTCGCCACCGCTGGTTTTATCTTTTCTTTCCATCCTACACATCTTTTTTTTTTCACTGCGCAGAACAGTTCATCTCTGTCATGGCAGAAGTTTCTCGAGTCTTTGTCAGACACTTTCTGTGGGGCTGCGGTTCACAGACACTCAACAATAACCCCCACCCACCTCCTTTCACGCGCCATTAACTGAGAAAAATAAAAAAACGCTACTTCTCACATGGAAAAAAACGAGGGGATTCACTTTTGCTGCAGAGGAGGAGAGAATGTTTAGAATAGGTGCCGATAGCCATATCAGACATGAAAGACGACAGTGATTGCTCATCGCTGATAAAGCCAGGCTTGGATCTTCCACACAGGAAAAACAACAAACATCTCTTCAATACCCAGAAACCTCAGCACAGCTGGTTATTAAGAAGCCCCAGTGTGGTGGCAAAAAGTACAGCAGTAGATAGCATTAACTATCACACCTCCCAATCCAGCTTGTTAACCAGCAGCTCAGGAGGTGCTTGTCCTGCTTTCTCCCCACATTACTCCTACTTCACTGCCTCTGCAAACAGCCATCAGCGGCCTGCCAGTTTCTGCCACGCTCCAAGTTTGCATTTTATCTCTTTTTCTGCCATGTGTGCGTGCATTTCCGTGTATTTGTGTGTGTATGCGCTACTGTAACGTGCATGTCACTTCTCCTAAGCAAGCATCACGCAAACAGATGGGCAGTTGAAAGGCCACGAGCCATATTGTGACAGATGAGATTCCCTTCTTTTGTCCCCGGAGCTGATGGCGCTGATGGCTCTTGTCACACAGTACAGGCCAGACCAGAGGGCGGTCACCAACTCTCTGTTCTCATGAACAGACTGCACAAATGAGCACTTCCTCTTCTAACCCCCTCCCCTTTCTTTTTTTCTTCTCACCACTTTATAGAAAGTATTAGTTTACACAAATTTATAAATGTTACATGAAAAATCAATATAAAGTCTCTTCACATCACAGCAAATCTCCCACAGGCTACTAGGCTGATGCATGGGTCGCATCATTTTCATCCAAATCAAACAATCCAGTAGGAGATCATTCCCACTCAGGATACACTTTACAGTCACTCTTTCCTCTAAAGGGAAAGTGCACAGAGGCAATCTCAGCAAAAATCCTTCTCAAATCATAATAGGGATCCTCGAACTCCTCAGTGTCAATTCTAGGGTTTGGAGTTCTTCAATAATTTCTCACACATCTGTGTATGTCCACAACAGTGTTTCAGTATCACAGAGTTCATTTGCTCACTGGAAGTCTAAATGCAAATAAACAGTTTTTTATCAGCAGCATCTATTTCAGTGGTATTATGAATAATCAACAGAAAAGGTTGTCAGCTGTTTTCATGGGAACTACTTCTTAGTCCCAGTTTAAGTTGTTTCTGGGAAGGGTAGTTGAGATTAAATGATAGGGCTGTCGGGAAACACTGATCCACAGTAACCAAAAATGTTTGGTAGGTATCATTTAAATG